TGCTCAACGGGTGATTAGCCCTAATTTTGGGGGGAACAGCCGGGCCTTAGGGCGAAAAATCATTTGTGTTCATCTCTATTTTCTGTATTACTTTGTGTTTTGGGGCCTGTATAATTCCTACATCAAAGAATATGAAAGTTTTTCACAAAGCACGTTACACTGATAATTCATTATGGACACATGTATCTATTATATATTTGTCGATGCACAATTTATTTAAATCCTATTTTTCCGACACTTGCAGGCAATATGATCAAATGCAACAGGAAGGAAATTCTATACTAGTTTTCTCTGAAAAACATTTATACCAGTGAAAGTAGTTTTTTTTTTTTTTGGGTGAAGACACTGGGCTAAGAGCTGGTGCAGCAGCATTTTAATTTTGCAGCTGAGGCGACGAGGCTGTATCGGGACTAGGAGCCACTGCAGGAGCCTTACTTTTTTCCAAATCAGTTTCAGGATCAGAACTTTTGTCCGGGGAGTTAATAAATGAAGTTCTTTCCCTCTCTCTCCCTAAATCTTTGTTTTCGTCGGGTGAAATGGGTGAATATTTAACCCTTGGATCTTCTTTCGGAACTGGCAATATAAAGCCAGGTGCATAAGGCACCCCCATGGATGGTATCCATTTATCCGCATCAATGTACTGAGAAGCCGTAAATCGTTGAACCCTGTTGGCCGGAAGTTCCTTGACACCAGGCCATGAAATCCGCTGTGTTTTAGCAGCAGCAGGGCCTCTGTTATTGAATTCCGCATAGAAAAGTGTGTCAAGAGCAAATGTTTCATTCCAGGGAAGCCATCCTTGAGGCTGGATCAAATCATCCAGGAAAGATTCCAAGATTATGGTCCTGGAATATTGTTTCCAAGGCCGGCCAAGGTATGATTTGATCTTGTTCCTGACAGGATAGTACTCGGGATCAGCCTGGATTGTGCAGTTCTGGAGTACAAGTCCTGTAGGCTGGCGCGATTCTTTCCGGCCTTGTGCTGTGACAATGCATTGCTGGTTGTCCATTGGCTTCCGCACCACCATTGTGCAGCCCTGGAAAACAGCAGCGCTATCTCCAAATATGAAATCGATGGTTCCCGAAATAACGCAATCTTTGTAGAACTGACGGTAGGTGTGTGCATAAAGGGTGTCTTGGTAGCCATCCATATGGCAATTATAGAACAATGACTTGTCGGCTCCAACACGCAATGCAACCGCTTGGTGCTTTTCTGGACCAGCAGAGTTTTCGAATCCAATATTCTTGGCCACGAAATTGTCAGCTTGTACGGCTGCATGAAATAGATTAATTCTGTATTATAGAAACAACATAAATACAATTTTATGTTCTACTTTGTTCAAAATGTATTGAATTTAGGCATACCGACTGTTGCTGTATGGTAGGTGTTAGTTCCATCTATGTAATTCAGATTACCGGTTATCCTTGTCTTGGTTGGACCGTCCCCAATAATTATCAAATTAATCAAACTGCTATTGAACTGCACCTTTTCTTCATAAACTCCCTCTTTAATGTAAAGAACAAAGGCCTTGTTGCTTTTTTTGGGGATATCTTTCATGGCTTCATTAATTGTCTTATATTTTCCTGTCCCATCCTTAGCCACAACAAGGTCTGGCTTGATCTGCTGTGGCTGAGCTTGAAGGATCTCACGTCTTTCAACATCCATCCAATCAGGCAGGTCTTTTGAAAGGAGACGACGACTATTAAATCCTTGCACATTCAAGGAATCGAGCACCGTCGAGATTTCAGTAACCATTGCAAGGCCATTGCTGGTTAATTCCATGGCTGTCTTTAATGAGTCTCTCATTTTCTCTCCTGCATCTCCCTGGACATCTTCGAAGCCATCTATGCATGTTTCTTGATACGTGATGGCACCACTAAGCCAGACCTTTATGTCAGACAGCATGATGTTAAAATTGCTTACATCGAAAGCCTTGAACTTATCATACGATCTCTGGAGGTCGTTTACAGCACGTTCTGCAAGCTCGTGGCAACTGTCAAGAGCGGATTTTGCCCTCGGGTCCTTTTGAAGGCTTTGAAGGACTGTCGAGTTCTTGGCAGCCTCATTAATATACTTCATAGCTGCCTTGAAAGCAAGCTCGATGAGTTCTTTCGGGTTGCTCGTGTCCGATGATTTGAGGCTATCAACGCAAGTTTCTTGATAATCTGTCGATTTACATATCGTCTGAATGGCTTTCATCGTCTGACTGGTTTTCATGGGTTCGGATACATCCTTGCTACCTGGACCGTCAAATTTGCCATCATGATGGGTGCCTATAAAGGCAACCACCATGGCAACCAGGAGTATAGAACAGATTCCAATTGCAACGACATTCTTCTTATGATCATCCACCATGATCAAAAACTGATCCAAATTACTTCTTATCCTATAAGTATTTCAGCTAATATGCCAAAAAATGACAATGAATTGGAGAAGGGTTGAAAGGGTAGCTTGACCCTCTCCTCCCAAGCTAAGAAAAGCTCAGGCAATATTTCATTGGAGAGTCACGATGGAAAACACCTTATTAGATTGAGGAACACGATACATGGTCTAAATTTGAAAGGTAGTTATTTCTGTTGTAGAACGTGTGATTTAAACGAAAATAATAGCCAATTAACCAGTCATTATGGAGAAAAAGTTGGAATTCTTTCATTTCAGTTTTACAACCATAGAAAAGATTGATCTTGGAAACGGATTTTCATTTCACACCACTGATATAAATAGACAACGGAAGAGAAACATTGTTTGATACATAGAAAGATGCATGGTTGATATACAACAAGTAGTGATTGATTAATAGTCCATCTGTGTGATAAATCATGACTAAATCAAACATTAAAATCCTTTTTGATACGGTCGGCTGACTCTGCAATTAAAGAATTCACATGCGAGAAAACAGTCCCATTTATCAGTTTTGACGGTTAAAAGTACGTGAAGACACAAGAAATTAAAGGAAATAAAAAATTGTACACTTGTAGCCGAGCTAATGTAAAACAAACCACCCAATCTGCTGTTGTTGGGGGTGGTTTAATTTGTTATGCCAGATGAAAAGTTGACACCAGTTGCTGGCAGCCATGACAGTCCATCAATGAAGCGTCCAATGGTGAAGAAACTGGCTGTAAAAGTGATAAGTGTATTTTTTACACTTATTTGGGGCTTGAAATTATAGAATTTTATTATTTTTTTGACAAAATATGACCTAAATTGTGTCACATTGCATCTTGTAGATAAAACTCGATATTTGATGAATAATTGGAGAAAAGAAGCAAAATGTAGCGAAAAATGAAGAAATCCGAAGTTTAAGGATTAAATTGCAAATACTCAATAATTGAGTCGGATCTCAAGAAGATACTTTGAAAATTATTAGGAGACAATTGGATGGAATTATAATTTATATTCCAGATTTTTAGCCGACGATTGATACCCCTTTTTGGCATAGTAAACGTCCGAATTGAAAAATCTCTATTTCTAGAAACATTTTAGAACTTTGAGTTATCTTTTCAACGCACTTTGAATCGTCTCAATCGGATATCATAAGAGAAAGTTATGACTAAAATACGGACTACTATGTAGAGACAAAAAAATCTGAGCACAAAGGCAACTTTCGAAACCAATTTGGACGTGATTTTCAACCAATTTTGACTCCTACAAATAGAAAATAGCATAATACATATAGAGAACCTTCATAGACCTAAAAATCTCTATATTATACATATTTTTGAAGGTGAAGAACATGGCTAACAACGTGAAATCAAAGTGAATTGCATCGGATATTGAAGATTCTTCATCCGAATTCAAGATTCACATCAAGAATGTGGATTTTTTCTACTTCTTCCATCTTTCTTATTTTCGGGTGATGTTTTTCCAATTATTCTTGTTTAATTTAATTATAAGAATTTTAGATTTTTCATTGTATTGGATGAATGATGAACTCTATTGCTTATTTATTTTAATTTGAGACAATTAATTTAGTACCTCTTGATTTTTCTTGATTGGTTTTGCATTCTCATTGAACTATTTGATTGCTTGATCACCAAGTAGATAGTGAGTTGCTTGTTGTAGTGTAGGAATACTCACAATAGGTATTAGANATTTAGTACTTCTTGATTTTTCTTGATTGGTTTTGCAATCCCATCGAACTATTTGATTGTTTGATCACGAATTAGATAGTAAGTTGTTTGTTGTAGTGTAGGAATACTCACAATAAGTCTAGAACGCGGCAAAATCAACACATGGACAATAGGTATTATGCATAATATCTATGACATGTGCAATCATGTGTGAAATCATGTGAATCAATGCATGTTTTTCATATGAATTCAGACTAGGAATAGGACTGGGTCGTTTTGAACATAGGTTTAATATATCTTGGAAAAGAATATTGAATAATTGTGGATTATCAATTGTCTTGAATTCCTGAATTTACTAGATTACGAATTAAGAATTGAATTAAATGGCAATAGGCAATACAAACATTTACATATAAATACTTTATTTGTTTTGTTAGTTTATGATTAATATAGATTACATACAAATCATCTCTCTTTGTTGATATTACCACACTTCGAATTTAATAGTAGCTATTGAACTACAAATTAGACCTTATTCCTCGTGGGAACGATACTCTTAACTCACAAA